TGAATAGTTGCAGAATGTGATGGGTCCTCATTACACAATGTTTGCCGAATTGTGCATCTTCTTAATATTTTGTTATAGTCATATGCAACACAAGACATATCTATATCAGTAACAAATCATGAGCAAATTCAGGAACTACCGAAGAGAGTGAATTGTGGTTCTGACAATCCTGATATGAGCCTTACCACGGTTCTCTCGCTTCTTTAGCTTCATGGCCTCAGATAGCAAACACTAAGGGCCTGTGCTGACATAGGCATGAAATTGTGCATTCACAGATCCCTGCCCTCTTTCCTCATGAATTCTCCTGCTTCCCTTAACCATGGCTTTAACCTTAACTAAGGTTAATGATAAGCAGGTTTACTTATTAACAAGAATTGCTAACATAGAAGTCCAGAGACTTCTTAAACCAGCACAAATACTGTTAGAATAATTGGAATTGCAGTTGAATTTTCAAATGTTGGTTGTATGTATATGTGTACACTTTGATTGGTCCTTTTGAGTATATGGTTTTATTATTTTTTCTTATCAATTGCTTGCAGAAATATATTTATCTAGCTTGATTCTATGTCTTCAGTATACAGCTGTGGGTTTGATAGTTGATATCTGGATTTAAAGGAAGGACATATTTAGTGCCAGATATTTTAGCTAATTCTTCTTACCCGTTTTGTATATTTAAATGGTGCTCTTTGTATTGAACTCAGGGAGCAGTATGTGCCTAGTTCAAATGGGGCTTTTGCTGGGGCTTTTTAAAATAGGAACTAAAGCAATTCTGAAGATTTGAGTGTCCTTTTTTTTTTAATCCCCTTTTTGATGTTATGCTTCATTCATCAGACACTCCCTTTCCAAAAGAATAGTTTTGGGTGTATTCCTTTTGGCTTTTTGTATTGTGGTTAAAGCTGGGTGTGTACTGAGCTGACAGGGAGAATGCATGCCCTTCAGATGTCAAGAGTTCAACCACATAGTGATATTCTAGCTGGTTGATCTGACTTTTGCTCATGGTCCTTCTCTTTTCTCTCGTGAAATTTTTTCTCTCTCACTTCACTGTATTCAGACTTAACTGGTTGTCCCTTCCAAGGACTCCTCCATACTCTGTCTTAAAGGCAAGCTTTATCTGGTCAGTGCTTAGTTCAAATCCTGGCCAGGCCAAGGAGATAAAGCCGAATAAGGTAAGCTTGCTGTAGAAGGAAATGATAGATCATCCTCCCCCATCTGGCCTCCTCTGGATATGTGGTTCATAAATGAGTGGATTCTGTATAGAACAGGGGGAGGAATTACCTTGTCTGTGGTGGCTAGGGCTGCTGGGACATCTAGAAGGCTGACAGTTCCCACCTTGGCATAGAAGAAGCGTAATGCTCATTATTATTATTTTCTTAGTACTAACTTGGAAGTCCACTTCTAAGCAGTATTCTTGCAGTAAATAAAACTGAACACACAAATGTCATTGTTTGGCTTTAACTGGTGTCTAGCACCTATTGTTAGACCTGATGAGATTCAAAGTTGGATTGCAAAATCATTCCACTAACTGCACTGGAAACTAGAAACCCCAAATTTCTTTTATATTGTAAACTTCGCAAGGTAGTCAGTTTTTAACAAGGCAAAATGCTCAGAACAGCTGCATTAAAATTAATATATTAAAATTAATATAGTACAAACTTGATTGAGATATTGTACTACAGCCATATCATTTGAATTTTTTAAAAATCCCTTTTTAATAATATCTCCTTTTAAAAATCCATTTTTAATATCTTCTATGTACAAAGATCTTCTGTGACTATCACTTTAAGTAGAGGATTAAAAATAATTTTTATTTACTTATTTTGAAATAAAGCTTTTTCATTTAAATTGAATTTTGAACATTACACTGTGATTCTTAAAAGTGTTTCTGCTTTAAATAAAATCTAGTTATAATAGAAACAAATAGTTTATGATTTATTCCTGTTCCATGATCCTTGATCAAACACATTGGGTACATTTGCCTGTCACATTTTGGGCCTGGAGAAGAGATTGAGAATGACTGGCCTTCCAGTTGTTGTCAAACTGCAACTTCCACTAGTGTTGAACCAGCATAGTCAATGATGAGGGACACTGGGAGTTGCAATCTGTCAACCTTTGGAACAACAAAACATGTTCTTGAATGGTCCTCCTTCTCCTTTTCCTTCCTTTACTCTTGTAGCTTAATGCATTACTATAAATAACATATGGTTGCCTATTTGTTGTTATCTCCAAACTTGTCTTTCAAACCATTATTGCAAATCACATCTGCAAAACAAAAGCTAGATACTAATATATTAAGCTGAGTTTCGGAGAACAGGAAGCATGTGAAGGAGGAACTGGGGAATATGTGCTAATCGGTTTTTCTATCGTCTGCACCATGGCAAGAAGAATTGTAAACAAGATGGCTGGATGCAGCCTGAAACATCTAAGGTGAAGGTCAAGATAGTACATCTTCCCATTCTGTGCACTCCAAGGCAGACTAGCAGCTGAGTTTTACTTCATCACTGGGGAGAGGATCATATCCTTTACTATACCATAGGCTTTATGGACGTCCTTGGTGGCACAGGGGATAGCAGGCTAGCATAGGGGTCACAGAGCAGGACGGGTGACATACATGCAGCACAGTCTCCCCACACTTTGCTGTTGCTCTCCATCCTCAGGAGCCAAACGCACTCTGCCTTGTAGTGATTTTTAATGTTAAAGGTAGCAGTCTGTGACCTTTTATGTTCCTTATACTTAGCATTTTGTAACCTATGAAACTAAGATCTTTTCAGCTTTACAGCTAATGGTTTGACTTCCAGTGTCTGGGAGGAATAATGGACTGCCCAGCAACTACTAGCCTTTGCTTTTGGACAACTTAGATTCTATTTTTTCCACAATTATAGGAGCTATGGGAGTTGTGGTCAGAATATCCAGTGGGCCAAAGATCTCCTGCTCCAGCCTTAGTGATTTAAATCAATCCAATCTGCCTCTGGCCCACATTGGTGTTATTCTATGCCAGAATTGACCATACAATCAGTCAAAGATAACTCTGAGAAACTTTTCAAGGTAGCCAGAGTAGAATTACAGGATTTGTGGATGTATTTTTTAAAAAAATGACAAGATGTTTAATGAACCAGAACATTTCACGTGTCCCTTCACTTTCTTTTAGAGACTGGTTGTATAATCGCAGTTGAGCACAGAACTGGAAGGGAAATTAAGCTTTTGCTTCAATGACTTACAACATCTCTATTATTATTTTTCTGTGAGTGTCTTAGGCTGCTTCCATTTTGAAAAGCTCAGGCTTACCTGAGGTCCTGTTAAAAGGGTATTGGAGAAACTTTTTTCCTCTTGCTCATCCACTGAAGACTGATTGAAATGTTGGATATTAATATTATTTGAGCTGTTCCATACATAGACGCATATGTTCTACTAGAGATTTAGCACAGATTAGCCCTGCTACAGCTATAAAGTTAGAGATTGACTACTAGCTAATTGTTTTTTTTTAAATGAAGTTTGGGGGGTCCACTTTTAGGGTTAGAGTTAGGGAATCATGGGAACTGTATTTTATTGTGGCACCAGAGCTCTCTGACAGAGAAGGCTCAATGTCTCAGGAAAAAAAAACAATTCCCATGATTCCCTAGCACTAACCCTAACCCTAAAAGTGGACTCAATTTGCACTATTTCTGGCAGTCTGCAACCCCCCTTTATCTTCCATGCTTGCATCAGCAACATTAAAGATTAAGCTTTCAAGTGAACATTATGTTTTTTTCCTCATGGGAGAATACTTTATAAATCCAAGAAGAATAACTATTTAGGATTATTTTTATTAGCCATTCTTATTTCCAGTAAAGGATACCTACCGTACTCTTCATCTCTCAGCCCTCTCCACTTTGCTCTCTTGAATTGTGCATGCATTGAATTGCTTCCCCCTGAGCAGACCCAGGTGGCTGGCCAACCAAGTGTGACCATTGCATTTTGAGAGACCGTAAAATGATGATTGCTCTGCTTCAGTGTCTGTGGCATGTTGTTTGCAATCTAACCCCAAAGCAGCTGGTAACACAGCGTAATATGCCACTGGAATCTACCAGGTCAGGTGGTAGAGTCATAATTTTGAAGTGCAGAAGCAATCCTCAGTGTCAACTCCACTCTATCAGATATGGAAAATCTCTTCTGCAGCCATTTCTCGGGGAGGTATGTGGAATATATAATGGTGAACCCTTTGTTATTTGTTGTTGTGTGCCTTCCAAGTTGTTTCCAACTGATGCTGACCTTATTGTGGGGTTTTCTTGGCAATGGCAAGGGGGGTTTGCCATTGCCATCCTCTGAGGCTGAGAGTGTGTGACATGCCTAAGGTCACCTAGTGGGTTTCATGGCTGAGTGAGGAATCAAACCCTGGCCTCCAGATTCATAGTCCAGCACTCAAACCACTATGCTATGGTGGGCCTTACATTCAGAATAATATGTGGGCTATTTCACTAGAACCAAGTGTAGATTGCACCTGATCCTTTAGAGAGTTAGGATAGCACCAAGCCAACAAACTAGCCAAAATATGTCCAAAAAGGAATGCACAAAGTTGCATTATTCTGTTGCTTCATCTTGCTCAGTGTTGTTTACACTGACTAGAAGCTGCTATCCAGAATTTCAGGAAGGGGTAAACACACTCTTAATGGACATGCTGTTTAGGCAATAAACACTTGGCATAGTTGGAATATTTTAGTGTGATAATTCTAGCTTCACTGAAACTTTAGAGCTGCATAGCTGTCAGTGGCAGTGTAGGTGGGCTTAAATGTTAAATTTGTTTCTTCACTGGAGCCGATGCAAGTAAAGCTATCATGTGACTAAAGATATCACACATTAGAGTTATCCAGTTGACCAACCAATACCATCTACATGGACCGATAGCAATGTCCAGCCCATTTGCTATTGTGTGCCTTCAGGTCCTTTCCAACCTATGGTGACCCTGTCATGGGGTTTTCTGGGGCTGAAAGTGTCTCTTTTGCCCAAGGTCATCTGATGGATTTCCATGTCTGAACAGGAAATTGAACTCTGGTCTCTGGAGGTATAGTTCAGTGCTCAAACCATTACACCATAATGGCTCTCATAGTTGAACCCTCTACTGCAGATAAAGCATCTTTCCATTTAGCTGCTTCAGTGAGAGAACAGATAGGAGGGAGACAATATTGCAATTGAAGGAAAGGATGCTATGCATCATTATTGTTGTCCTCTCCAGCTTTGGAGAAAAATTGTGGCAGTCAGGTCCAGCTTTACAATATGTAAACCAAATTGTTGTTTTTGAAAAATGAACATGTGCAGATGGAATTTATCACTAAGTTACTTACCAGAACACTTTGAAGAGTAGATTTTCATATGAGAGACTGTAGCTGTCTTGCAGGTTTCTGAGCTTCTAAGTGATTTTTTTTTTAAAGAGCAGACACATTACTTAATAGAAACATAATTACAGTGTAATGTTTCACTTTTTATATCTTGTAAAAGAATTTATTTCTTCCTAAACTGTCTAGCTCTTTTCTCAGCTGTTTTTCTTCCCTGTCTGAGGAGGATAAGAAGATTAGACTTACTATGAGATCAGGATTACAGTACAATCACAGTTCAGGAAGAAGTTCTGTCTGCTTATATAAAATGGTTGCAGTTGTTTAGTCATTTTAATATATTGCCTTATCTAATTATTTAAAATGTGCGAATTTCGGCTAAATGGTCAGTGACACAAACTATGCCTGCAATATTATGAAGATTTTTCCTAACCCTAATCCTTACATGTGAATTACATTTTACTTGGTTTGTACATAGCATGTTGTAGTCCAGTAACCTAAGAAATCCAAAGCTTGAATTCTTCTTGTGTTGTGAACTAAAAAAATGCTTAAAAGTAAAGCACTCTGTTGCTGATTCTGCAATATGAACCTGCTATACCGGATTTTTATTTCAGGATTACAAAAGTAACCAAAGGGACACAATGCCGAAGGAGTGAAGGGGGAATATTTTACTTGCACTGAACCAGAGTTGGACCAGATGGGCTTCAATGTCCCTTCTAGTTGTGCCATTCTATGTGGATGGAAATGGATGTCAGTTTGGAACTTGTGCCATGGATTGGTAGTGTCCATTGCATGACAGTGTCAGCTACATTGACTCCATATGTCTGTACCAGTGTTTGGGGCCCCAAATCCAGTTGTTAGTTCCAACTATAGAGGAACTATTCAATCAGTGTAATTTATATAAGTTTAGACTTAGCAGCTTCTCGTTGATTCAGTGGGTTTACGTTAGTTGGGAACTATTAAATCTAGCCAGGTGAAATCTGGTCTTTGGGTCTGCTGCTCTACTGCAGATCATCATCAAGAGCAAAACCAGCACCAAAACTAGAATTAACTGCAGCACAGGATGCTATACCATGTAATGCTGCCTAATTGGTACATCTGCCATGTAATGCTGCACGTCTGGTAAGGATGTGACTTTAATGGCTACAGTTTTCTACCATTTTGGAGTTTGAATGAACACCGAAAGCCCTTACAGTTAGTATGCTAAATTGGAAGGGTTTTGTGTGTGTGTATGAATTGTATATTGTCTGTAAATCCCCCACTGGATAAAAATGTCGATGCTACATTTTGTACTAGCTGTAGTATCTGACCATTTTTCAAGGGGCAGGCACTTGGGGCATGTTAACAGTAGTCTGAAGGAATTAAGGGATGGATCACTGTGGCCAAAGGCCAAGATGAATAAATATGTTGGTAGAGTGCAGATCTCTGCCAGCATACTTAAACTGTTGTGGGAGAGGGAGAAGTTGATTTCACATTTCCTCCCTGGGAGTACAAGGGCCAACAGGTGCTTGTGAGTGCAGCTCCATCCTCAAGGCCACCAGTTGGCTGTGAGAGTGTACCCAGGCATATTCTAGTTGACTCAGTATAAAATCAGAAAGAACAGGAATAAAATTTGGGACTTTTCAGTCAGTCTGGATGCACCCTATAAGGCAGCTTCTTGTTATCAATGCAATTAGAGCTGCTTTTAATTCTCTTCTGTCATATTATTGATGATTTCCACCCAGTTCACAGAGAAGTTCTGCAGGTGCTTTGGCCAATGAAGTACTATGATGAGAGAAGCTACATTTGATCAAATGTCTGTGCACAATCGAGAGGTGGTAAATTTTCTTGGCATCTAGACCTGGTACTTCTGCTATCAGTTAGCACCTCTTCCTCCTCTTTTCAGAAAACTTGTAAATCCAAAAAGATCAGAATTATGTATCCATAATTTTTATTTAGGAAAATATTTAAGAAAATAAGCATTTTTAATATCTGTTTAGAGAGTCTTCCATTCAGCTTTCTGATAAATTGCTTATGTTAATTAGCTACCCTGTTTTTTAGGAAAATGTCAACTTGCCTCATTAAAATACGCAAGCAGGTTTCATCTTTGCTTCTGTTGCATTGTCTCTTGATTGCCCTTAAAAGGAAGTGGTGGAATTGTTGTCATATTTCCCTGTGATTCATAAAGCTTCATACATTATAAAATCACTTCTTTGTCTTTGGTCAGTGTTTGTTTAAGGTAGCTCATTCCTTTAGCAGGCGGACATTCTTTTAATGGTATACTGCCCGAAATGCTAGATTTTCCGGAAAGGAAATTTCTTCTGCTGACATGAGATAGATCAATTTATCTCCAACACCGGATGGAGTTGGGTGGGATGAGGGTTGTTCTGGGGCAGCCCCATAGTTTGTAAAAGTTACTTTTTTAAAGATGCAGCTCTCAGCTAACACACACACACACACACACACTGGTTCTGTTCTCCCTTCATGTATTACTACAATAACCTGCGTACAGCTTTTGAATACAGTTTATCCCTACGCAGTGGAATAGTGGGTGGAATCTGTTTCCCATCATGATTCACAGGTTGCTTATTTGGTCAGGTGTTAGATTGGTGTTTTGTTTCATACTTTAAAAGCTAGTCTAAGAATGGAAGATGGGGCTTTGTGACTAGCACATGGGCGTAGTCCATCAGTGCTGTGCATACCACAACTGGGGATGGATTGGTTCTCTGACTGACAGAAGGGCTAGCCAGTATGCCTTCTACAAACTCCATCTCTACAGGAACCCCTTCCCCCAAGTAGTCCTGTTTTTCAATGATCTCAGTCCAGGGAAGATAATGTGTCTGCTACAGCTTTCTGCAGGAGTAGAAAAAGTGTAACCTTGAAATTGGACATATTGTCAGTCCTCTGTATCCACAAATTATTTATCCGTGGATTCCACCATCCACGGCTTGAAAATATATTTTTTTAAAAACCCAAAAGCAAACCTTGATTTTGTTATTTAATATAAAAGATATATACCATTTATATACCATTTTACTGTGCCATTGTATTTTTATGGGATTTGAGCCTCCATAGATTTTGGTGTCCATGGGGGGGGGCCTGGAGCCAAACCCCAGTGGCTACAAAAGGCCCATTGTATATGCTAAGTTTCCATGGTTCGACACTGTGGTATATTTGTTTATTTTGATTTATAGTCCAATTTTTTTTCAAACCTTAGGTCCAAAACACACTGTAGAAATAATCCAGTTTGAAACTACTTTAACTGCCCTGGTTCAATGCTAGGGAATTCTGAGAACTATAGTTTTGTAAAACATTTAGCCGCCTCTGTCAGAGAGCTTTGGTGCCAGAATAAACTACAATTCCCAGGATTCCCTAGCACTGAGCCAGGACAGTTAAAGCGGTCTCAAACTGGATTACTTCTGCAGTGTGTTTTGGACCTTAGTCTGTGACTATGGGATTACTTTAAAGCAGGGGTTGGAAACCTACGGCCCGTGGGCTGGACCCGGCCTGCTGAGGCCTTGGAACTGGCCTGTGGCTGGTCCCACCACCTCCGCTACCCCGCGTGCATGCACATGACGCTGGCGTTGTTGGGCGTTCCAAAATGGTCCCCACTGCCATGCGCATGCATGCGCAAGTGCAGCCGCCATTTTGGACACCAAAATGGCGCCTGCGCTCGCGTGTGCATGCACTTAACGATGGGTGCCATTTTGGAAGGCCCCATGGTGGCTGCCGTGGGGCCTTCCAAAATGGCGCCCCCACATGTGTGCGCATGCGCACGAGCGTGCGCCATTTTCCCCCACACCCCTGGCAACAAAGGTTGCCGATCCCTGCTTTAAAGGTATGGATAAAACACAGAAAGTACAGTTTGCTGTCTGTTATGTATATATCTATTGAACATGTTTCTGAAATGCTCTTGGGTTATTTTGCAAATATCAAAACAGGATCAGTCAATAAAATCACAAATATTACAATAAAAGTAAGTAAAATAGCCAAAATGAAATCAAAACATTAGCATATATTAGACTGCTAATCATTATAGTAACATTAAGAACCAGCAGTAAAAACTAAATCGTAATGGTAGGAATAAAATCAAGGTTTGAATGCTTGCTGGCAGAGGAAGGTCTGAGCCTGGTGTCTAAAGACTACTAATAAAGGTCTGAGCCTGGTGTCTAAAAGCTACTAATCTTTCATGGGAGCGTATTCCACAAAACAGGGAGAGAATACTTGGGATGCTTTCCCTGGTAGCCCCAGTCATTGAATTACTGAAAACACCGAGAGGAGACCCTCTAAGGAAGAGCTTGGTAATAAATAAACCTAATAAATTGTTCTCTAAGATCTAACTGTGATCCATGGTCAATAGGAAGGTGTGTGATCATCTGAATAAATGGGTAAAGGACCTGTGTACCTGAGCCCCATTCTTAATGTCCACATAAAACATAAATATTTGAACCAAAAGAGCTTCTACAAAAGCTGAAAACCGCCATCATCCCAGATCTCACATCTCAGGAAGTTGTGGCCTTTGCTCAGAAGTCGAAATGTATCACAGGGCCTTGCATTACACCTCTTCACACATGGCTCCTCTTCATGCAAAGGTGCATTTCTGTAAATGGCTCACTGTTAAAATGACGTATGGCAATAGCATTCTTGATGTTAAGTGCATTCTGCTATTTTAATATTTTCTTCAGATTTCTCAATCCTCCTTTCAATTTATGTCACATTTGAATACTTACTTCTAGTTAACTTTTAGGAACCTACAACTTCATATGTTTCCTGCCTTTGTCAATTTGTCC